CCTAAGCCAACAGTCAGCATCAACTGCCAGCCATTTAAGTAAGCCATTTGGCCATCAAGTCAAGACTTTAAATGACTCCAATCCTAGATGCTACCTGACTGCAACTACATTACTGAACTTAGAAAAAGGCCACCTGAGCTCAGTCAACAGAGAGCCATGAAAGAGAGTAAGAAGCTATTGTTTTAAGTCAAAGTTTTCAAGTATTTTTTATGAGGTAATAATAAAAAAACAGAGGTTAAAAGAAGTTATTCAGCAGAATGAAGATAATATCAAACAGAAACATGGATTTTTACAAAGAAATTAAGAGTACTAGTAAACAAAGGTAAAATAAAGCTCATTCTATTTCTTAAGCTATTTTAAAAGATAACATGTGAAAGCAAAAATAACAGCAATGCAAAATGTATTTATAGTCCAAGCTACAGAAAAATTATTCCCATAACAGAACATGAATGGAGGGGAGATTCTACCAAAAAAACCATCAAATCTAAAAGTGAATTTAACAAAATTGATATACAAAAACCAATACTATTTCTGTATCCTACCAGCCACCATGTGGAATTTGAAATTTACAAAACATACCACTTACAATAGTATCAAAAAATATGAACTGCTTATAAATTTGACAAAAGATGTTCAAGACCCCTATGCTAGAAAATACAAAAAAATGGAAAGATATGCTGTGTTCATGAATCAGAAGACTCAGTATCTTGAAGATGCTGATTCTTCTCAAGTTAATTTTTAGACTCAAAATTCCAGTAGACTTTTTGTAGAAATTGACAAGCTCATTTAAAATTTATATGGAAATACAAAAGACCTAGACAGCTGGGAAAAAATAGAAAAAAAATTAAAGTTAGTGAATGTTCACTATCTTATATTAAGACATCATAAAGCTACAGCAGTCTGTAAAATGTGATGTTGACAAAAGATGGACATATAGGAGACTTATGTAGTGTGGTGAATATAGTTAACAATACTGTATTGTATAACTGAAAATTGCTAGGAAAAAAATCTTAAATGCTCTTGCCGTAACAACAAAAGGTAATTATGTGATAGGAAGAATACTTTAACTAAATCCATTGTGGTAAACATTTTGCAACATATAAACTTATCAAGTCACCACACTGTACATCTTAGTTACATGTGAACTGTATCTCAATAAAGTTGGGGGGAAAAGACATATAAATCAATAAAGCATAATAGAGTTTAGAAATAAACTCACACATGCATACTGATTTTCAGTACTCTCACAATTCAATGAACCCAAAAAACCCAAAATCAACCCAAATATCAAAAATATGCAAAATATTTTAACAGACACTTCACAAAAAAAGGAAAAAAGAAAAATACAAATAGAACATAAGCTCAATCAATGATAAGATGCTCAATCTCATTAATCATTAAGAAAATGCAAATTTAAAATATAATTAGATACTAACATTCACATACCAAAATGGCTAAAAATTGGTAGGCTATGAAGCAACTGGAACTGGCACATACCACTGGTGGGAATATAAGACAGCACAACCACCTTGAAAAACATTTTGGCAGTTTCTTAGAAGCTAAACAAACTCCTCATAAAACCCATCAGTTCCATTCCTGTGTATTGGGGGTATGTCCACAAACAAACCTGAACACAATCGTCCAGAGCAGCATTATTCATAATACCCAGTATGTATATTTCATTTACATGACATTCTAGAATAGTCAAAACTAATTTACAGTTAAAGAAAGCAGATCAGTGGATGCCTGAAGCAGGAGGGAGCATTAGGGGTTAGTGGAAGAATGGATGATGAACGACTGCAAAGGTTATAAAGGCACTTTGGGGGAAGAGATAGAAAATGTTCTATATCACATTATGGGATTGGTTACGTAAGGTATATATTTGTCAAAACTCATTGAAAAAATGGGTTCATTTTACTATATTATACTTTAATAAAGTTGACTTAAAAAATACATAGTAAAAAGTATCCAGCATATTTGTAGCAACCTCTGATATAGGTTCTGGTAGCTTTTGCATTATAACTGAAGCAGCAGACAAAATTTTAAGTTTAGGAGTAAGTTTAATTATATGTTTGGCTTTTCCTCTATCAAATTTGCAAAGTAAATATACGTTTTTTTACACATAAAGATTTCTGAAGAATGTCAATGGTTCCAAAGAGAGTTATAAACATTACTTATTAAGGGGACATACTAGCTGATAGAATGAAAACATTACAATGACTTATAAAAAATTAATATAAAGCAAGACTAATTAAGATACCATGGTACTGACACAAAGACATGCAATTAGATCAATGGAACAGAATAAAGAGCCTAAAAAAAGACCCTATGTACATGAAAAGTTATTATACAATAAAGATGTCATAAATCTTTATGGAAATAATAGATTATGCAATGAATTATACTTGAGAATTGGCCACCAACATGAAAAAAATTGGATTTCTATCTCATATCATACAAAAGAAATCAATTTCAGGTAGACTATACCTGAACACATATGTAGGAAAATATCTTTTGATGTTAGCGATGAGAAGACTTAGCAAACAATGAAACAAAAAGTGAAATCATAAAAAAAAAACACTGACAATATGACAACCTTAAGATTTAAAACTTCTGAACAAAAACACCACAAAAAAGAGACAATTTCTATCATAGACCACATTCCCAGGAAAGAAAATATTTGCTCTGCATACGAGAAAAACAATTAAAATCCAAAATATAGTTTAAAGGCATATAAACCAAAAAGAAAGACAACCCAAGAAAAACGGGCAAATGATATGAATTGACAATTCAGAAAAAGAGAAGATCCAAATGGCCAAATTAAAGATGAAGAGTTTTTATTTTTCTGTTACTTCACAAGTAACAGAAAAATAAAAATGAAAACACATAAAAAGATATGATTTCTCAGGGGTTCCTGGGTGGCTCAGTCAGTAAGTGTCTGCCTTCATCTCAGGTCATGATATCAGGGTCCTGGGATCCAGCCCCATGTGGGGCTCCCTGTTCAGCGGGGAGACTGCTTCTCCCTATGCCCCTCCCCCCACTCATGCTCACTCACGCTCACTCCCTCTCTCAAATAAATAATTAAAAATCTTTAAAGATATAAGTTCTTATCCATTAAACAAGACAAAATGTGGGCCGCCTGGATGGCTCAGTCATTAAGCCTCTGCCTTCAGCTCAGGTCATGATCCCAGGCTCCTGGGATCAAGCCCTGCATGGGGCTCCCTGCTCAGCAGGAAGCCTACTTCTCCCTCTCCCGCTCCCCCTGCTTGTGTTTCCTGTCTCGCTGCGTCTGTCAAATAAATAAATAAATAAATAAATAAAATCTTTTTTTTTTTAAATAAATTAATTAAATATACAAGACAAAATATTGAAATCGGACAATAATAAGGCAACAATGTAGAAAAATCAGACCTCTCCTGCATTGCTCATACAAATCACTTGGGAGAGTGAAAGCAAAAATTAGCAAAAAATAATAACATTCAAGATAAGATTTCCTGTTAACTTACTACTTCTACTTCAGTTTTACAATGCAGAGAACCTCTCAAACATGTACAAGATATAACATATTTACGGATGTGCACTGTAGCATTATTATAAAATAGAAACAAGTACCAAGCCCACCAACAGAAAATGAAATAAAAAATATGGTATATTAATATATAAAGATTTTTTTTATCAGCACATATAGAACAGCTTTATTCATTTTAAAAGTTGCCTAATATTCTATTTATTATGAACATAGTAATGCTTCTGCATGCAGAATCTATTTCTGGAAGGATCTAGGTGAGAAACTGGTACAATGGTTAGTTCTGATCAGAGGAAGCTGGTGACTAGGGGATAGAGATTGCAGGGAAATTTGTCACTAAATGCCATTTTATATGTTTTCAACTTTAAATTTTGATTATTTTACTTAGTTGAAAAATTAAATTTTGATTATTTTACTTAGTCAAAAAATTATATTAGAAAATTTAAAATATAAACCTGAATGCAGAAAGAATGGCAAAAACACATGTGGGTATAATACCATATATATAAAATTATAAAGCAGTTAAAACAATTCTATTTGTTGTAGCAAAAGTACTAATACATTCTTGGAAACAATAACAAATTGAGTATAATTTGAGGAGGGTAAGGAGGAAGGCGAGAAGAAAACAGGATGGTGGAGGGGCACGGTCCACAGGCACAGCCAGGAAAACTGTTGTATGTATGGAGCAAGCACTTACTACATGCCAGACACAGTGCTAAGATTTTGGAAGCACTGACTCACTGCTATCTCCTCCTACCACTTACCTGTGAGAAAGACAGCGATCAGCCCCATTTTCACGTGAGGAAACTAAGGCTTTGAGAAGTGAAAGACATCACTCATGTAAGGTCACAGGGCTGGGAAATTGCAGGGCTGGGGCTCAAGCTCATCTTCCTATCAAAAACCTGTCATGTGGCTGTGTGCCCCTCGGGCCAGCCACCCCCTCTCTGGGCCCATCTCTGGGACAAGACTTACTGCACACATTTAATGCAACATGTGGGGATGGCACGGAATAGGATTCCATTGCACAATGAACACTATATTCATATACCATGTAGGGGGTGAGAAGTGGAGGATGAGAAGAAAATGGGTTAGTGGAAGAATAAACAGGAGTTTTAAAGTATATGTTAGGTTTCTTCTTTAACATTTTGGGGGAGGAGGGGCAGAAGGAAAGGAAGAGAGAAAATCTTTTCTCACAACCCTGAGATCATGACCTGAGCTGAAATCAAGTGTTGGATGCTAAACCAACTGAGCCACCCAGTTACCCCTCTTTAACATTTTCTAAAACAAATAAAGCAAAATGTTTAGATTTGAAAATGTTGGGCAACAGGTATAATTTTCTTTAATATATTCTAGAAATACAACATAACTTTTTAAAGAGTACATAAAATACCTCGCACAGTACCTCGCACAGCACCATCTAACAAATGTTACTTTCCAGTCTGCAATGCATTTTATTATAATTTCTAGGACTTACTCTGCTAACTCCACTTTGTAAGCACTGAGTGTTGCATGAATATTCATTCTGAAAGTTGAAAGGGAATACTGCTCCTGGTAGAAGGGGGGAAAAAAAAACTACTTTAAATATCCATTATTTCAATAAATGATATACAACCATCCAAAACCCTTAATTATCCACGATATTCTAGGTACTGTTTTGAACTGTTTTCTGATAATTCATTTACTTAATATTTATTAAACACTAAGGAATATCAGCCACTGTGTTAGGGGATGGGTTGTAAGTGTAAAAAGAGTTCAGAGAGTTTTAGAAGAGTTCATGGTCTATTTTAAAAGACAAGCTCATAAGAAATTACTATAATAAAAACAAATATGAGGGGTACAGAGAAGATATTAGGGGAGAGAAGAGTGGGCTTTGTGATATAGAGGGAAAAAGGAATTTCCAAAAGGAAATAATGGGGTGCCTGGGTGGCTCATTGGCTTCAGTGTCCAACTTTTGGTTTCAGCTCAGGTCATGATCTCATGAGTCGAGCTTAGTCTTTCTCTCTCTAAAATACATAAATAAATTTTATTTTTAAAAAGTAAATAATTCTATCTGGATCTTAGGAGGATATAATTAAATGAGAGACAGGTCCACTACCTTTACCCCCTATAAAAGACTTAGAATCAATGAAAAACTGAATCTGTACAGATAAGGGAGTGATGGGCACTGCAAAAAGGCTGGTCACAGAAAGGAGCTGTGGCCAATGGCTTTATACCCTTCCCTTTAGGAGAAAATCTGTGACCTGACCCAAAACTACTGCTTCTTCAGCACACCAGAAGGAGCTGGCATCAACACAGTTAAAGCTATGGTCCAGAAGATCCCTAATATCATTTGTCAGTCCTAAGTCACAGCCATTTTTCAGAGGAAACACTACCAAAAACAGAGACAATCTTCCTTGTAAGAGGAGAACAAATAGAAAACTGAGGAACTGGTATCATTTTTATCTTTTCTGCTTCATCTTTGCACCTTTTTTGAAGAAGTCAGTTACTCAGTTGAACACATGAAATTTTTTTTTCCTTTTTCCAAGAAGTCAGTTACTCAGTTGAACACATGGAATAAAGAGTATTTTAATAGGATGGTGACAATATTATATATACATTATATATATAATATTATATATTATATATAGTAATATTTAGGAGATATATACATTAACATTTAGGAGTCATACATACACACATATATATATATAAACCTAAGTTAAAATACAGAAGCCATGTAAAATACAGAAGCCATGGCAACAATGAAAAAAATAAATTCCAATTAAGGAAAAAGTATACCAAAAATCTGTCCAAAATACTAGTTTAACAGGCAAAAGAAAAATCTTTAATTTTAGAAATTTTTGTTTAAGTTTCCTGAAAAGTGAGACTCTATGTCCTAGCAAAGCCCTAATCTGTAACCATTGTTTTGTTTGTATTCATTCATTTATTCATTCATTTATATGCTGTTAGGAATTATTTTTAAAGGTTAATTCTCCAGCAGGATTGCTCTTCAGTGAGCATAATTTCAGGGCACAATTTGTATTGAGAGTATCATTCTAAGCAGAAGCAGTTAACCATAAAAATGAGACATTTAAAAAAGTACACAAAGTTGTTGGGAGGCAAGAGCTGTTCTTCCTACATTTGTTAGTCTGATAGACTAGGTAGACTCATAGACTATTAAGAGTCTTTCTCTTTGGTTTTTAAATTTTTCAAACAAACAAGATCATTAGTTTTCATTATTTCTTACCCACCATAAACAATTACTGCATATATTATTTAGTCTTTCAAATACTACTTAGCCATTAAACAATTAATATTTAAAGATATGTACCCTAGATTACTCACCAGGGGGAGAAGTCAGATGACGAACAGGTCTTGCTGGTTGAAGCGGTTTACCAATCAATTTTTTGGTTTCCATTATCACAAAGACCTTGAGGTTCCATACTTTAGGAAGAAAAAATGTATCTTATCTTTTCAACAAGATGATCAAGATGCTTTTATACACACACACACACACACACACACACGCAACCACAACATTCATTTGAAGATAATTTATTTTATAAGTTAAGGTGGAAACCTTAGACCTCTTTACACCATCTGTCACAATGGAACATTCACTCTTTTGAAACATTTTCCTCTCATAACTTCCCTGACTCTTCTTTTGGTTTGTTTCCTATTTCTTTGACTACCTCTTCTAACTTCCTTGGCTTATTCCTCTTCTTTTCTCCAGTTAAATTTAGGAATTCTTCCAAATTTGGCTTTGATCTTCTTCCTTGACCTCAATTATTCTGATGATTTCAGCTACCGATCTACATGACAAATACACCCGAATCTATACATTTAGCATCTACCCCTCAAATTCCAATTCAATTTTTTAAAATATTTCCATTTACATCTTATCACAAATACCTCAAATTCAAGATATCCAAAATTAAATTCATTACTTTGACTCCAAAGATGTTCTCACCTCTGGTATTCCTTAAAGACTTCAACTCTCTCAGACCACCTTTGGTTAAATAAGATCTAAATAAGAGACTCCATACTATAGTTAATCTCTAATTCCTGTCCATTCTACTTCCAAAATATTTCTCAAATCTATTTTCTTCTTTCTCACCACTACTTTCTTGGTTCCACAGTAATTCTTAATTCAACACCAATCACTCAGTCTGATTTAAATACTCCCTTCTCACCCTATTTTCATGGGACACAGTGAATATGTCTATATCATGACATTAAAGAATATTGTACTATATTATAATGACTGATTTGTCTTTTATACTTACAAAAGTGAAGAGCAGATTCTTTAAGTGAGGAACAATATTTTCATTCACCCTCTTTCCCTGGCAACTAACACAGTACCTGGACTGGATCCAAAGTAGGTGTAATACAAGCATTTGCTGAACAAATGGGTGAATATAATCTCTTTCTCTCCAAACTATGATCCCTTTACACAACACCTGCTTTAAAAACTTCAGTTCCTATTACATCCTGGATTATTCATAACAGAAACAGAAGCCAACATCCACGTGTCATGCAGAGTAAATCATTTATCTAAGTTACATTATTTAAGATTCAGAACACTCTATCAATTAGGCCCAATTAAGAGTTAGAGTTCAGGTCTCAAGTTGGCCTACGTGAGTTCATGTTATGGTTTCAGCACCGAGAGATCTAACTATGGAAAACAATAGCATCTATCTCCTAGGTTTGACGTGAAGACTAAACAAGATATATGTATAAAGCATTAGCACAGTGCCTGGTACATATTAAGAGCTTAATAAATGTTAGCTTTTTTTTTTAATAATCCTAATTTTAGATATAAGGCTTGGAGAAATTAGGTAACTTGCCCAAGGTCCTGAATCAAGGAAATGACGGCATGTCCATCTCCATGCTTCTGGCCACTAAGAATTAAGAATCTTGTCCAACCTTTTTCTACCTGACACCCAGGCAGACCTGAACAGGTTCTGGTTAAGTACCCTTATGTGCTCACAAAACATCCCTGTGTCTATCCTCTTCCAATGTAGTTCTTACTGCACTAGTTGCAATTACCTATCATCTGACCACTAAATTACAGTTCTCTCACACAGGTGTATCTCCAGTGTCTAGCACAGTGCCTAGAACACTGTGAGTGTTTAATAGTTTGTTGAATTCATACGTGTTATTTTGTCTCACCATGTATTTATACATTCTGGAGTTCCTTCCCTTTCCCTGCCGCTCTTCTCCCCAAATGTTATTCATCTTTTAAGACCAAGGTCAAGTTCCTATTATTTCCTTGGAAAAAATATCCTCATGTCTCAATAGTAATGGAAAATAAAGTAGTTCGTCTGAAACTTTCTAGTTCCTAACAGATAGCTGACAGTAAAGTAATAATAACAATAATAATTTATATTCTTATCTTTCTTCTTCCACTACCCCAAGAGTATTTTATTTTATTATTTATTACAGTAAATCTATTACATGCCCATATGATTAGACTGAGTTATTTGAGGCTAAAAAAGAACTAGATCTTCTTTATCTTTGTGTGCTAGTACCTGCAACATAATTAGTTTTACTAAATCAATCTATACATTTAAATACCTCTTAAATATAACTAAATCTTCTGGTGCCTGAATAGGACACAGCCTTCCAAATTATTATGCCTATTAAGACAAAGCCTAAAGTAAAATTCCATCTGACTTTGTATCCACTCATTCAGAAGCAACTGTAACCATATGATTTTTAAGCAGATTATTACCCTAAATGACTGTTTCCCTAAGTAAAGAATAGAGTTAATAACTCCCTTTTAGCTCCAAAGACATGCTTTCTTCTATTTAAAAAATGCCTCTGGACATAATTCAAATGTAAAATCATAAATTTTTCAACAACCTCTCAAAAGTTAGCACTGATAACTAAACATAAAATAGTTACTTTTTCCTAAAGTTTGGAGATAAGCCAGCCAGTATTCCAAATTAATACCTATCAAGTTTTTGTAATGTGTCTTTTAACTGGTATTTCAACACGGCTACTAACAAACTTCTAAACACTAATGCTGTCTGTACTTGTTGGCAATACAACTTTGATATAATAAGAAACAGAAAAGTTATAAGCATATGTAGCAAAAAAAGTATTTCAGACAAATATTGAATATTTTCTATGTGGAAGGAAAAATTTTAAATAAGGACCAAAAAGCAATCTAATATTGTGTTAATGTTTATCCTCAACATTATAATTAGAACCCTAATACTAGTATGTAGTAACTTTCCATCCTGTTTCCCATATGAAACTAACGAATCAGAATACAATAGAGTACTGTGGCACACACTTTCTTGTTTTTCATTGCTCAGCTGAAATTTAGTTGATAGGTTGTAAAGTCCTTTCCAGTTGCTGAGCAATGCAAATCCACAGTATTCAAACTAGGGATTTTCAAGAGTTGGGGAGTTACAGAACTATTATATGGTTTTGCAATACAAGTACATAAACAAAAAATAAAAGATCTTTTAGTATCACCCACCCTTTCAACTTATAGTAGGAAAACTAAGCAAGAGCTGCAGATATATAAATTCATATAAGTTAAAGAAATGAGAAAAGATAATGCCATATAGTATTCTATTTAATATTTTTTTAAGTAAACTATGCCTGCATAAAGACACTGATATTATACGGAATAAGTGTGGGATACATAGTATACAACAGCATCATGCTACAGTGTTATTAACGGAAGAGGCAAGTATTTACTGTAAAACTGATCCATAGGCTCATAATTTATGAAGAACAGGATTCCACAAACCAAAGCCTAATTCTCAGTTTAGGTTAAAAACAGTAAAGATTTAACTGAACTACAAAATCATTATACAAAATAACTTTAATTTTAAACTCTAATACCTGCCTCACTCACCCAATGTAGATCTCCAAAAGTTTCCTTTGAAGCTACTAGAATGACCTAGGGTAGGCGTTTATGGCATCAACTGTTACAAAGGACAACACTTGCAAAAGAAAAAGAATCCTACTTAGGACAATGGATAACAAGTAGTGGGCCAATCATGGAGTTGTCTTTTAAACTATGAATACACAGCCTTGTAGTATAAATATTTTTTAAAGAACATTTTGATCCAATGTCTCAAAAATTTAATTTTATTAATACATGCTGAGAAATAGCTATTGAATAAAGTTTTTTTCAAAGTTTACATATATTTAACAAATCATCTTAAAAGGACAACTGCTATGAATAAAATATTGATCCACACATCAGGAAGCTTTAGTCAGGAAGCTTTGCTATTCTACATCTAGCAATACTTAACAATATCTTGGGTTCTTTTTCTGTTTTAAAAAAAAATCAAACTAAGTATGAACCTTAAAGATCAACCAATTCTGAAATTATAAATTTACCTAGAATTTTCTAAAATACAGTATAATGGGATAATAAGCACAGATACTGACCAGTTGGGACATAATCTTACTACACAATATATACTATTCTTTTTTAATTCAAACTCCGTTTTTTGAGATCCTATTACATGCTAAATTCTTTACAGATATTTCATTTAATTTTGAGCCATACGTAGAGAATCACTATTAGTAACCTTATAGATGTGAAACCTAATACTCAGAAAAATGAGAGATTTTCAAGTTCGCATAGTATATATTTGGTAAAAATGAAGATTTAACTATAAAGGTCATGTCCTTGTCTCTAACTTGCATGTTTGTTAAGTAAAAGAAAGACATCTGACTCTCTAATCAGTAAAAGAAATTCTAGTCAGTAAAATGAAAGACATCTGACTCTCTAGTATTCCATTGCTTATTGGATTTTTTTTAATGAATTATGAGAAGGGACATTTATATATAAAGACGCTGAATAAACTGATATGTACTAATAATTTCTATTTCCTCAATTTATCATTTTTCTTAGAATACTAAATAAATTATAAGATTACTATGCTTTCCTCATTCTGTAGACATGGTACAGTGCCCTACTTATCATGGGTCACAACATAAGAAATATACATTACCAAGTACTGTATTTAGAAGCTGGATACTATACTTAAAATTTCCAACTTAAATTCTACATTTCTTTAGACAATGCTGATGGTTTTGCTGCAATTAAGAAATAAGATCAGAGGCGCCTGGGTGGCTCAATCGGTTAAGTGTCCCACTCTTGATTTTGGCTCAGGTCAGGATCTCAGTGTCCCGGGATCAGCCCTGACTTAGGCTCCACACTCAGGGGGAAGTCTGCTGGAGATACTCTCTCTCCCTTGCTCTCTGCCCCCCCCCTCACACCCGCACACGCTTTCTCTCTCAAATAAGTCAATGTTTAAAAGAAGAAGAAGGAGGAGGAGGAGGAGGAGGAGGAGGAGGAGGAGGAGGAGGAGGAGGAGGAGGAAGAAGAAGAAGAAGAAGAAGAAGAAGAAGAACAAGAAAGAAGAAAGAAAGAAGAAGAAGGAGAATGAGAAGGAGAAGAAGAAGAAGAAGGTGCCTGGGTGGCACAGTAGGTTGAGCAATTGCCTTTGGCTCAGGTCATGATCCTGGAGTCCTGGGATCTAGTCCCACATCAGGCTCCCAGCTCCACCGAGAGTCTGCTTCTCCCTCTGACCTTCTCCCCTCTCATGCACTCTCGCTCTCTCATTCTGTCTCTCTCTCAAATAAATAAATAACATCTTTTAAAAAAAAATCATATAGATGAATGGATATATACATACATACATGTTTATAGATGTATATATGCACATATATCTATATGTACACACACAAATAGGTATATTGGAATATTAAGCCATAAAAAAGAATGGAATTCTGCCACTTGCAACAACATGGATGGATCTAGAGTATAATGCTAAACAAAATAAGCCAGTCAGACAAATTTCACTAATGTGTGGAATTTAAGAAACAAAGGAACAAAGGGTAAAGAAAAAAAAAAGACTCCTAACTGTAGAGAACAAACAGGTGGATACCAGAGGGGAGATGACTGAAGGGGATGAGAGAAATAGGTGAAGGGGATTAAGAGCACTTATATTGATGAACAATGAGTACCATATGGAACTGCTGAATCACTATAGGATACACCTGAAACTAATATAACACTGCACATTAACTACATTGGAATTAAAATAAAAAGAAATAAGATCATATAAAATTAAATAATCTGAGAAGTGAAAAGACCATGTTTTCATCTACTTCATGTATGTTTCCCATATGATAATCAGATAGGATTTAATCTCAATTTTTTTTTAATTTTTTTTTAAGATTTTATTTATTTATTTGACAGAGATCACAAGTAGGCAGAGAGGCAGGCAGAGAGGAGGAAGCAGGCTCCCTGCTGAGCAGAGAACCGGATGCCGGGCTTGATCCCAGGACCCTGAGATCATGACCTGAGCCCAAGGCAGAGGCTTTAACCCACCGAGCCACCCAGGCGCCCCTAATCTCAATTTTCAACTTCAAAATACCATACAGAATTAGGATTCCTTGAAACCACAAGCTGCTTGCAAGTAAATTGCACAAACTGATTAAACTGACAGACGAAAAGTAATATAAAGGAAATACAGGGGAGTAAGAGATAAATCAATTGTGACTTAGGTGATAAAAGATATTTTATACTCCACATATCAGGCTGCCACATTCAGGAAAAGTTTAAACTATCAAAAAGTTTTAGGAGGAGAGAATGTCCCGTAATATTTTCCATTTCATGCCTTCTCTCTCCACAACTGACCAAAACAATTTTATTTTTCTCCGTGGGGTATCTTTCAATAAAATAAGATTTACCACTTAAGTAGGATAAAACTGTCCAAATAATGGGCTCTTGTGGATATGTAACTGATGTAACTGTCCTTTTCTGCAACTTTGACTAAATTATCAGCAATTAAACCTTTTGACACAAATACTGAATCATCATGTTGTCAACCTGAGGCTGTTACATGTCAACTACATCTCGGTTTTTTTAATGGCATATCTTTACATAGAAATTATGCGGTATATCCTCATATACTTTCATGAACCATTCGATTTTCCTCTGTGAATTAACCATATATGGTTTCTTGGCACTTTTTTTCCTGACGGGTTTTCTTTCCTATTGAATATAATTTCACCTAATTAATTATTAATTTGCTGTTTATTTTATTAATAAAAAACAACTACAATAATGTCAAGGAAAAAAATCTGCCCGAAATTAGTAGTGACGGTGCCAGGGAATGGGGGACAAAACGTCTTCAAACCATCCCGCCACCAAGGACCGCGTCCTGGGACAGAGGGCGCTGTGTACTTAGCTTTCTCTGGCGTTTATGTTTTTCGTTTTAATACGCCCTCAGCGGAGTAACTCTCCCTCGGCCACTGGCCCCTCGCCGGGTGTTCCCACAGCCGTCAGTCACCACCCTTTCCTCTCGACGCGCTCGCTCCCTCACACTCTACCACCCACCTTAGGGCCCTGCCTGATTTGCCCCGCCCGACCCGAGGTCCCCCCTCCCTCACAACTTTTCCGGCACCCGACCTCAGAGACGGCGCCCACCACCTCCTCACACCCGGGCCGACTTCTGCCCTCCCAGGTCGGCTTATCCTCCCCAACCACTTACCGCCTCAAGATCGGGGAGGATTTCGGGGCAGCAGCGTCGCCGCGCTCAGCCCAAACGCGGCGACCCAGCGCCCCGCTGCCCGTCGGGGAACGGCTCCCGCCGCGCAACGGCTCCCGCCGCGCGTCTGCTCGAAGCCGAGGGCGGCGGGGATGGCGGGGGCGGGGCCGACGGCGGCTCCGAGGGGCGCGAGGCGGGCGCGGGGCGGGGCCTCGGGTGGCTGGCCTCGAGCGCGGCCACAGACCCGCGGGGCCAGAACCGTTAAGCCGGTAGCGCGCGCGCTTCCCAGGGCGTACTGGGCGCGAGGGAGCGGCGCGGGGCTTCTGGCAGCCGCGCGGCGTGCGGAGGAGACCGGGGATGGCCTCTCCCAGGTGCTGGCAGGCTCGCCCGGTATTGGGCGCGCCCGCATGAACAGCCTTCGGGACCCCAGTCGGCGGTCCTGCTTGCCCGGGACCGCGAGGGCGAGCGGCGGGCTCCAGGCAGCGACTGTGAGCGAGGCCGCCTCTGTGAGCGAGGCTGCCCGCGTGCTGACGACTGAGTGCCGCCCGCGTCAGAGCGGCCGGCCGGCCCCGAGGGATTCCGGCGCTCAGAAACGGTCACCAGGCAGGAATACTTATCTCAGACCGCCGTCCCTAAAGACCAAGATTAGTTGAAGCAACTCCATCCGAATCCTTTTTTTTTTTTTTTTTTTCAGTCTTCACCCTTTTTCTTTCATTCACGTTTTCTCTGTTCTCGGAGTGTCCCGTGTGGGTGCCAGCAGTAGGCTGCGGGGACATGGGGGCGCTACACGGGAGAACAGGATAGTCCTGCCATCACAGGGCTCAAAACCCGCTGGGAGCCTGAGCGAGGGGGCGCTTCGGTAGGCCGTGCTGAGGACTGTGGTGGAGGAACAGGTGCAAGCTGGGAGCACAGTACAAGGGAACCCTAAACAGACCCTTGGGCTTGGGGTGTCGTTTTCGGAGCAGAGCCCTGCTGGTGGGTTGCATTTGGCAGGGGGAAGAAAGCAGGGAAGGAGGAAGCGCAAAGGAAAAGATGGCTTGTCTGGTGTGGAGTCACTGGAGTTAGGGAACCGATAGTGGGGAAACGAAACAGGAGCAGTGGACGCGAATTAGGTCCTAAATTTTTCATAGTTTGTTTGTTTTTTTTTTTTTGAATATTTGAAAGATCATTCTGACAGCAGTATGGTAGGCAGAGTTTGAGGACAGGGAGGTAGAGCAAGATGAAACAGGCTACAAAGCGGCTTCTTTGGAGGCATTTGCAATAACTCCAGTCAGAAATTATGTCATACAGGGAATGAAGATCTGAGCGATGTTGCCGCGGTGAAATCAACAGTTTAGTGACAGATTGGATGGAAGGGGTGACCGAGAAGAGAATCTAGGTAATTCTTGAGTTTCTGACTTGGGCAAACAAGTGAATAGCTGGTAGTATAAGAGTTGGAAATGATGAATTCAGAGTGGGACTCCTATCAGCTATTTTATAAATTCAGAAAATATATACCCAGGGGCGCCTGGGTGGCTCAGTGGGTTAAGCCGCTGCCTTCGGCTCAGGTCATGATCTCAGAGTCCTGGGATCGAGCCCCGCATCGGGCTCTCTGCTCAGCAGGGAGCCTGCTTCCTCCTCTCTCTCTGCCTGCCTCTCTGCCTGCTTGTGATCTCTCTCTGTCAAATAAATAAATAAAATCTTAAAAAAAAAAAAAAAAAAAAAAGAAAATATATACCCATACATATACAGACCTATACACATACACACATGTCTTAGTCATGTAACAGACAAAATGGAACATTAGGCAAGGGATGCTGATTGAGAAAATTTGTGCATTCTGGAAAGAAGTATTTAGAGAACTAAAAAGACAAATAACCTCCAAAGGATGCTATGTAAAGGCAAAGAAAGCTTGTCTAGAATGGGTTAACTAAAGAAGGAATGCCTCTCTGAAAAGGGATCATCTGAGTACACCTTAAAACACATGCATAATAGGAAAAAAATGTCTAGTTAAGCAGAAGAAATCTTAATGCCCTGGAACAAGAAAAAGAGTTTGCAAAACTCAGAAACTGACATGAGATCAGTATGGCCAGGCAAGAGAAAGCAAGAAGAGACTATTAAAGATGAGTTTGGAGAGATGGGAAAAGCCAAAATCATACAAGGCTCCAGTAGGCAGGTTGAATTTTACTATAAGAGCAATGGGACAGTGGGGCAGTAACATGATAGGATTTACCATTTTAAAAGGTGTGGTTTCAGAATTACTTTAATACATAGTTAAGCTATTTAATGTAGAAATGGCTTCCAGGAACATTCCTATCCCCAGACACACCACACCTGGCATGTCCTATGGCACGGAGCACCAGAAGTCTGTGAACAATGGAGTCAATAAATCCTTCCAACCCCCAGATGTAGAAAATTTTAAGTGTAGGTTTCAGTTCTCATCAATCTAGCCAAAATAGAAGTTTTCTTCTTCAAGAAACTATTTACGGGCACCTGGATGGCTCAGTTGTTAAGCATCTGCCTTCGGCTCAGGTCATGATCCCAGGGTCCTGGGATTGAGCCCCACATCATACTCCCTTCTTTTTTTTTTTTTTTAAGGTTTTTTTTTTTTAAATTTATTCATTTGACAGAGATCACAAGTAGGCAGAGGCAAGCAGGGGGTAGTGGGGAGGCAGGCTCCCTCCTGAGCAGAGAGCCCGATGCGGGGCTCGATTCAGGACCCTGGGATCATGACCTGAGCAGAAGGCAAAGGCTTTCACCCACTGAGCCACCCAGGCGCCCCCATACTCCCTTTGTGGAGGCCAAGAAAAATTAAGGCCATCCCACCTCAGGCTTAGCCTTAGCATTAAGTACAGCTATCTCAGACCGCTGGGCCCAAGGGCTGAACCTTCCCCTACTTTACTTTAGTTCTAAGGAGCCCCACCCTACTTTAGTTCCAGAGACCCCCCACCCTGCTTTAGTAACAGGAACCCATAAATACCCCTGCCTTAACTAAGCTCGGGGTCCAAGTCCCTACTCCGCTGTGTCGGGTATACTTGGGCCCAAGCTTAAGCTTGTCAAATAAACCCCCATGTGATTGCATCGGTGCTTGGCTCCTTGGTGGTCTCTCAGACGTGAAAACTCGGGAACAACACCTTCTTGGCAGGAAGCCTGCTTCTCCCTCTCCCATTCCCCCTGCTTGTGTTCCTTTTCTTGCTGTATCTCTCTGTCAAGATCTTTTAAAAATTTTTAACAATATAATGTATACAATTACATATACATTATACAATTATTTTGTATATATAACTATATGAAATAAACAAAAATTATTGTGACAAAAAAGTTAATTTGAAGAAAAAAATTTTAGACCAAACTAAAATCAGTAATCCATTTAGAGGAAGAGGTAAATTTTAAACAGAGGTAGTAGATTCCAAAATTTTTTAGTAATCAACTGAAGAAGAATGAATCATATAATACATTGAAAGTTTGGAAAATTTCTTGTTGACTTGGCAAGAGATACTGGCATCTACAAAGGATAATCTAGAGCTCATAATACACTTCAGCAACAACAGCTTGACTAGTTAGCTTGACTAGTTAGCTTGACTAGTTAGCAAGTACTTTCAAGAATATTTAAGCTTAATCACACTGATCAAGAAAAGCTTAAAATGCTCTAAAATCATCAAACTCATATAAGAAACTCAACAGGTTTCCCCAACTTAGCAATACACTAAAAACTGACATGTTATGACTACATAAGTTATGATTAAAATTAACTTTTCTAAATTTTCAAAAATAAAAAATTTTGATTAGCTATGCTGCAGAAAATACCAAATTATTTACTCTCACAAAGGAAATGCATTATAAAATTGTCAGATAAAGAAGCAATCAAAATACATAAAAGTACAAATATAGGGAAAAATAGGGTGGTTCAGGCAGTTAATTAAAATACTTTTATGGATTTTTTTTAATAGCTGGTACTTGTCAGCTTTTTAAAATTTGTAACAGGATGCCATTCTCTCATTCTAAGTAAATACTTTGGTTTAAAAGATTTGGAGAATGGATTGAGGAAAAGCGAGAATGGAAATAGGAATCCCGAGAAGAAGCATAATTCACAGTTAAATGAGTCTTTTATTAAGTAGAGGTTTTTGTTACCATTATATTTTCAAATCTTATTTGACCGTCACAGTACCTTCCTCTAAGTTAATAAAACCCTGTATGAGCACAAGTAACACACATAAACTGGTTACCTGCTCTCACAAAATGTTGTGTCTTTGACAGTACAGATTCACAAACAGAAAATTACAATGCAAGAAGCTCATTGTTCCTATAAAGGCACTCCCGGGGCATGTGCGTGCCTGATTGGTGCTACTGAAAGCCTGAGGAGTTGGGAAAAGCTGAAGAGGTGGCATTGTCTAGTGTTTACCAAATGATCTCCTTACTAGCCTCCTGCCAGTAGTCTGTCTCTCATTCACTTATTCCACATTTACAAAGCATTTTATGGAGGATACATACTCATAGACGCACACAGGCATATAATCATTAGAACAAGTCATTAAAAAACCATACTAGAGACTTGGTTCTATTCAGCTTAGCTCAGAGGGGAAAAAAAAAAAAAGTTTTGAAGACCTATGCCTGTTTGGTGCTAGGCACTGAGGATACAAAGATAAACTGAAATAAGACAGTATGACTGAGGAACAATCAGCAAGAAAAGAATGATAGTCTTGAGAGTACCTATCAACTAGGGGTGCTGGGTGGCTCAGTCAGTTAAGTGTTTGGCTTAGGTCATGATCTCAGGGTGATAAGATTGAACTCCTGGTTTGGCTCTATGCTCTGTGGGGAGCCTGCTTGAGATTCTCTCTCTCCCTCATGCTCTCCTCTCTAAAATAAATCATTTTTTAAAAGAGTACCTATAAACTAATAAAATAAATGGTAGTATATGAAGTAATTAGAAGTATATACTTGGAACAGAAGTAGTACAAGGAAAGAAATAATTCTATTGGGGGTGACAGAAAGAAGAGGGATCATGGAAGGGTTCCAAGAGGAGGTACCGCCTGAGTAGAATTTTCAAGGATAAAAAGGAGTTTACCAACTTAGCGATATTCCTTGCAGGAAGGATATGTGCAAAAGCATACAGAAATGAAGC